ACAAACATTATATCACTTTATTCTTTGATGCAGAATTAAAGAACGAAAACAGCCACATTGGGTATTCTCTTCCAGTCATGCGGTGGGACCTGCCCATGATGATAGTTTAGCTTATATGTAAACCAGCAGGCTAAGGATGGTGCCTCCTTCAATACAGTCCCTCTAAAATTCATGCTGTGGTTCGTGTATAGCTGCAGCTTGTTGGGCGGCAGTGAGGCTCAGGAACTGCTGGGGACTGATTGTTGTCTCAAATATATTAGTGCAGCTCATTTACTCCTATACCTGATGGGATGCTCAGACTCCGCTGGCTCAGGGAATGGAGAGAAATATCATTAAAAAAAAAATCAAACCGATACCAAACTAAATTGCTTCTCCAAAGCTTGACTTGTTACTAGCTCCTCTGATAACTGAGGGCCTCACTCTTGTAAAAGATGCACAGCTTACTTCTGAAACAAATGAATCGTTTACCCACCAAAAGAACTACACCGACTTTAAAATTATATACATCAATGTATAGTACTAGTATCCTTCCTTCTAGCTCACCGAAGTGGCTACTACTGTGTAATAATCAATTTCTCAGTAAACACCAGTGTCCTAAGGGGTCACATTGCTCTCATTTCTCAGATGCTGCACAATCCCAGTTGTGCTGCACAGTGCTCCTATTCTGCAGTCATTGCATCTGAGGCTAACATTCTTGCCTGCCTTTGGAGGAGTGGAACAGTTCTGCAGGGCAGCAGGCTGGGTGGGGTTCTGAAATCCTCTGCTGCTCTGAGGCTGGGGGTCAGAACAGTGGCCTTAAAAAAAAACAAAACAACCTTACAAGAATAGAAGGGAGACTTGCATGTAAAACCAGATTGCTTTCCACATTAAAAGAAGGAACTTAGATGCTACAATAATTAGGGCCCTACCAAATTCACAGCCATGAAAAAAAATCACGGACCGTGAAATCTGGTTTCCCCCTGTGAAATCTGGTCTTTTATTTGCTTTTAGACTATACTATACAGATTTCACAGGGGAGACCCGTGTTTCTCAAACTGGGGGTCCTGACCCAAAAAAGAATTGTAGGGAGGACAGAAGGTTATTTTAGGGGGAGGGAGGTTATGGTATTACCACCCTTACTTCTGCGTTGCTGCCTTCAGAGCTGGGCAGCCAGAGAGTGGCAGCTGCTCACTGAGGGCCCAGCTCTGCAGGCAGCAGCGTAGAAGTAAGGGTGGCAATACCATTCCAGACCATCCTTACTCCTGCGCTGCTGGTGGTGGCGGCGGCTCTGCTTTCAGAGCTGGGCTCCCGGCCAGAAGCTGCCGCTCTTTAGCTGCCCAGCTCTGAAGGCAGCGCCACTGCCAGCACCAGCACAGAGGTAAAGGTAGCAGTACCGCAACCCCACCTACCATAACCCTGCGACCCTCCGACAACTCGTTTGGATCAGGACCCCTACAATTACAACACCGTGAAATTTCAGATTTAATAGCTGAAATCATGAAATTTACAATTTTAAAAATCCTATGACCATGACATTGACCAAAATGGACCGTGAATTTGGTAGGGCCCTAACAATAATGGTATCCGTGTGGAAAACCTGATGTCAGAACATGGGAAAGCCACCTGGTTTAATTGTAGTGACTCCTAGCTGCCCTGTAGGCTTAAATTTTAATGCATCATCAACTTTCTACAAGCTCCACTCTTCCCTCTCCCCTCCAGTTA